GGTGGTCATAATAATCTGGCCACTCAGTATATATATGTGTGTGTGTGTATATATGTGTGTGTGTGTATATATATATGTGTATATATATATATCCCACGTTCAAAGGCTGTTAAATTGCATTGTTTACCCATATCTTCAGAAAAAAATCACTTCTACTGTCATGGTAAACAACCTGCTTCCCTATTTATAATGGTCTGGCTCTCTAGCAACTTCAGCGCGGAAATTATAACTAATTTGCCTACAAACGTCAGATGGTCATAATAATCTGGCCACTCAGTATATATATATATCTTCTTGTGGCGGGCCCCTTGGGGTGGGCTTTGCAGCTCCGCCCAAGTCAGTTAGAATGGGGCTTGTAAAATTACTGTTTAATAGATACTGAATTAGGCTGTAAGCCCCCCAAAGTTGCCCCCCTATTTTCCTTCTCAGTATTATATACAGAAAAGTCAATGACAAATGAATTATGATATCACAAAAGTCTACCTCAACAAAGGTATTTGAGTTTATCATTCTCCTCAAGTGCCGAATATGTAAAGGACAATACAATTTATATCTATTTTGTAAAAGTTATTGCTGTATTTAAAAAACAACAACACCATGGATGGTGACCTAAATTATCACATGCTTCATCCCTCCAGGTCTTGTCCTTATAAAATTCAAGGGTGAGTGGGGAATAGGAGTGGGAATGGTGTTCTGATAGATGTCGGTCTGTGAAGGCTTGTTTCACAAAGGTAGAATTTTGAGTTTTACATTTAAATTTGCATCTCCTGCACAGACTCCCTGCTTCATGAAATTGCTTATTTGGATGGTTCCTCCATCCAATTATTGTTTCACCACAACTCGCTATGGAAGTCCAGGTTCCCAGAACCCAGAGCTGGAGTTCAGCCGCATCTCTGCCAAGATGCGCAGGCATGTCCACCACTTCACACTAGCAGTTTTGAGGAAATCCATTGTCAGCCTGTTAAAACAAAGACAATTTAACTTTCTTTCTTTTTTGACAATTTAACTTTCAACATAAGTGGCCCACAGGACTCTCAATTTTACATTACACTGTTTGAAACATGTACTTAAAATGGGCAGGAAATAGCCCTGCTTCACAGGGCACAAAAGAAATTGAGCAAGTTGAGAAATCAGAAAATACAAACTCAGACCCAAGACTGGAGTCCGGGCCCAGCGCCCAGTTCCACCACATTCTTTTCCGGACCCTGTCACACTCTTCCACCCGCGGAACCACTTTTGCTGAGGCCAAGCCAGTTCATCGACCCCCATCCCAACGCCCCGCCCCAGGCGCAGCCGGGCCCTCCCCTCTCTTGAGTGCGCCTTTCCGGGTAGGACGGCTCCGCCCCACCCGCTCCTGCTTACGTCCCATCCGGGCCCGCCCCACCCTCTCCGGTCTCCACCGCCCTGGCCGCGTGGAGCTCCGTCGGTAGCCTGCAGCGATCCGGTCATTCCCCTGCCCCGGTGCCTCCTGGCGCGCACATCCAGTGTCTTGCACACCCGGGAGCGGCTAAGGCCGAGGGAAGGTAACTATGCGGATTTTTTGGTCTTTCTCCTTTACACCCGAGCCTCTCTACCCAAGGTTCTGAACAGATGAATCCTGGGGGCCGCCGCGGACTTTGAAATCCCCAAACCCGCGTCTCCAAGGGCGGTAAGTCTCGCGTCCCCGTGAAAGGTTGGAACCCTTTGCTTTTGAAACGGAATTTTTGGATTGGAACACGTGGTGTTCCCCTGGACTGGAACCCCGATCTTTGTCCGCGGGAATTGAAGAGTGAATCCACGGACAGGAAGTGGTAGAGCAAAGATGGAGATTTATTGAAGAACAAGTACACACTCCCACATGGGGAGGGGGAAAGGGTCCCACTGAGTTCCTTTTCCCTATGGCTTATAAAGGCTGCAGATCCTGGTGCCTTGATATCCCCTCTGATTGGTCACTATTCCCTTAGACAGCTTACTACAGTAACTCCTGGGCTCAAAGGTCCAACCTCATGTGGGACATGTGAAGTTCTTCTCCCCCCGCCCCCCCTTCCTTATTGTTTTTCTGTTCCCTTTGGGCTTTCTTCTCCTCCTTCTGGATGAAGGGCTTCCTTCTCTCTTTTTGTAAATATAGACGTGTTACTGTTCCCAGCTCCCTCATTCTATGGAAATATGCCTGTTGCAGCTTTTCAGCTTCCCTATTCTATGGAAATATACCTTCTGCTGCTCTGCAGCCCTGTGCTTCCTCCATGGTCCCCTTAATTTC